AAAAAAAAAAAAAAGAAAAACTTGTTTATATGTGGCCTCCTTTTATATCACCTCCTTTTAAAGCTGCATATTATTTATTTTAACAGTTGGGTGTGTTATTTATACTGCAGTGAAGACTTGTAATTTGCTGGTACAAAGGATTTTTTTTATATAGTTTCCACAAATTATACAAGAATAGAATCTTACCTAGAAAATTCAGACCATTGTTGAAAAGCCTTTAGCATTTTCATACAACTATTATCCCCAGGGGTAACAGCTATTTTCATTTTAATGTTATCCTTTCAGACCTTTTCCCTATTTACAAAAATATGTGTGTGTATGTAAAGCTTTGGTTTTTGCATAAATGGCAGATACTTTATTGCATATGAAATTTTGTGGGGGGGGTTACTATTAAAATACACATTTGGAAATTACGCTCTAACTTTTGGATTTTTAATTAAAGATCCGTTTTTATAAAGTTGGGCAGAGTGATTTTTCATTTCCTAAAATAAAAATGCTTTTTTTTTTTTTTTTTACAGAGTCTCATTTTGTCACCCTAGATAGAATGCCATGGCATTCTAGCTCACAGAAACTTCAAACTGTAGGGGTTAAGTGGATCCTCTTGCCTCAGCCTCCCTAATAGGTGGGACTACAAGCACCTACCACAACACCTGGCTGTTTGTTTTAGAGACAGGGTCTTGCTCAGACTATTCTCACCTCCTGAAAGCAATCCACCCACCTCAGCCTCCCAGAGTGCCTGGGATTATAGCATGAGCCACCACACCAGCAGAACTGCTTTCAAAACTACTTTAATAACTTTTTACTAAATTTCACTATACCTGGAGTTTGAACTTCAAAGGTTTTATCTGTCATATACTAAAATTCAAAAAGATTTTGTGAAGCTCACATAATTCTCAATGTAAAATTCCTTTTCTTCCCTATTACATTCTGATATGACTCATCTGAAGACTATAAAAACTTATTTTAAAAGAGTTCTGATTTGGGACAGTTCCTGTGGCTCAGTAAGTAGGGCACTGGCCTCATATACGAAGGGTGGTGGGTTCAAACTTGGCTGAGCCAAACTGCAGCAAAAAAATAGCCGGGCATTGTGGCAGGTGCCTGTAGTCCCAGCTACTCAGGAGGCTGAGGCAAGAGAATCACCTAAGCCAAGGAGTTGGAGGTTGCTATGAGCTG